TGGTGAAATGGCTATGTCGCTGGAATCCCACGTAGTCGACCACAGTTCCAGACTAGGACTCGGTGGCTTAAACTCACGCCGGGTGCGTGTGCGTGCCCAAGATCCCAAGGGGAAAATGGAGGAGAAGGGATTGCAGCATGACCATCCTTTCTGGGGAGTGATTTCTTGCTTTCTGTCTCTCTGTCTCCCTCTGTCTTTCTGATGAGTGCATGTACCCTATTGCAAAAAACCTCTCTAAAAAATGCATTAAAATACTTATTAATACCTATTTAATGACTATAGTAAGCTATATAACCCCAGGTAGGTGCTACTTTATAGTATATTCACTTTGCTCACTGAAGTTTCTGCCTAAAGTCAGACATGTGTTCATAGATATGTATCTATCAGCTGTGCTTGCTATAGAAAGTTTTTAAATTAATTCAGATTTTTATTGAATCAATGAAATGTGAAAAAAGGCATGAAAAAAACTGTACATACTAGAGACAGTGTGAGAGGAGGGGAGGAAATGGCAGAGAGTGAGAGGTATGGAACCAAGGGAGGGGGAAGCAATATATATAAGAAATAAGCAATAGAAAATTATTTGTTGATAATACGTATGGAAATATTCTTGATTGACTGAATGTACAGTGCATTCTGGATGGAAAATCTCATTTTGTATACTGTGTTGATGTACAGTGAATGAATGTAAATAAATAAATTTAAATAAAAACCTGGAGGCTTAAAGCAAAAAGATCTAATCGAAAATTGGATGGTAAAGTGGAGTGGCTCAAGCTTACAGTTACAAAAAAAGGTGAGCTTAGAAGTCATAAGAAGGGAGTGGTGAACTGGATTGCAAACTATTCTAATGTCTTTCCCTCCTTATATCTTCCCTGAACCTACCGTTTCATTGAAAATTCTCTCTGAGTAAGCTCATAACCAAACTCTAAAGTCATCTCCAAAGAGCATCTAATTACCATCCTAGTCAAGCAGAAGTGTTTGGCATTGTTGAAAATCTCTTTACTTTGGTCATCTCAGCAGTTCCTTTTCCTGACTGTTCCATGCCAGTCTGTTATGCTGGGTCATGTTTTCCTCTTTGTCCTTAATGATGTTTGTGTTCTCCTTAGTTCTGTCTTTGCTCTTCTCTCATTCATGTTCTCCCAAGATTGTCTTATCTATTCTTGTGTTTCAGCTGTTGTCCACGTGGCTTTACTACAGGAGGGCTTCCAAAGGATTTTATCTTTCCATTCAAATCAGTAAAATCACTTGGATATATCCTAGATTTGTGCATTTTTACCTATAAATTCGATAGAAGTACACTATATATATATTATAAACAGAAAACAAATATAAAAATGAATAAGATAAACAAAAGAAGTTATGCTTAAATTAGCTTTAATTTTTATGTAGCAATGATAGAAAACATTTTAAATTTCTTAAAACTGTTATTAATTGAAATAATATTGTTATATTCAGAAATTATGTGTTGATATTAAGCTTATTATTTTTGCAGTATTAGCTTAACAGTATAATCAGCAATTCTAGGACTTGTTTCAATTCATTCCCTAACTTCTTCCTATATGATACAGTTGGAAGGTAGGCACACAGTACCTCTCTCCAAATGTGAAAAGAATGCTAGTGTGAGTGGTCCGAGTACAAGATGAGACTGTCCAGCTTATCAAAGCTGTGTTGTAAGCGGTCCAGATATTTGTGCCATATATCAAATAATATGGATCTGTCCAGCAGACCTGTGTTATTATTCTTAATATTATTATTTTTTAAGAGAGAATTTTACAATAGGTTGTGTGTGTTTTCCAGAGAGAAAGAGAGTGAGAAATCACACTACTGAGGGGTGGGTGATGGTCACACCACAATCCCTCCTCTTCCAATGCACACTGACGCAGCTGGGTCCTAGACTCAACTCGCAGTCAACTTTGTGGGAGTCCAGTGATTAATCACCCATCTGGTGGTCCCATACCTATATTATTTTGAAAAAAAAAATACAAATATAAAAAATAATATCCATTTACTATTTACATTTAATCTACCATCTGCACTAGATTTTTCTCTCTGTAGCATAGATTTATAAACTATTAAGAACATCTCCATGGTGTGATGCAGCCTGTGAGAGCCAGAGCTCCTGACCTTAGGACAGCATGTAACCTTGAGGAAAGAGCTACCTCTCATGGGCTAGAACTTTCAGAAAAATAAGGTATGTGTTGGGCAGGCCCAAGAGTCATTGATTAGAAAATGAGAACAGCACATCCACTGACCAGGCATGAGTGTGGTCAAAGGACACTATAAACTACACACACAGGTGACCCAGAATCCCATGCCATGTACCACCTCCGGTGAACTTAATGTCTTTCCCTCAGCTCATTATATATAAAACTATATTGATAGTTGAACGTTAGTGAGTAAGGGACAAGTTAGTTAATAAATTCTTCGGGAAGTATTGATTACTCATGAATCAAAATCTAATTCTCACTTTCAACATTCTAAAATGAATCTCAGTTGAGAGTTATGTATTTTGATTCAAGCTATGAAAAGAGAAAATATAAAAATATTGTTTATAAAATCTCTCTGAATAAGGAGATGCACTGGTCTTTTTCTGCTGCTATACCAGAATACCACAGGAGGTGTAATTTATAAAGAAGTTTATTCGTCTCAGGGTTCTGGAGGTTGGGAAGGCAAAGAGCATGGCAAAGGCAAAAGGGAACATGTGAGGAAAAAAATCTAGCTGAACTCATCCTCTTATTAGGAGCACAGTGTGTGAATAAACCACCCACTTCCACTATAACGACGTTAATCCATTTATGTAGGAGAAACCCTCATGGTCTTACCACCTCTTAAAGGCTCCACATCTTAATACTATCATAATGGCAGGTTTAGGTGGCGTTTTTGCAGACGGGACGTTATAGCTGCTGTTGTCACAGAGGACATGGGTGTTCACCAGAGAGAGAGAAAGGGAGAAAGCAGCCCTAACCCTCTAAGCCCCTGCCCGAAATGGGGCGTGTTCATGCCACAATCCTTTCTCTTTTTCTCAATCTTGTCAGGGTTTTGGATGTACATGCATATGCACCTGGCATGGTTTTCTAGCACCAGTGCTGGAATTCAAACTGTGGTCAACCTCTGTGGGATCCAGGTTCCTTAACAACTAAGCACAGTGTTGGTCTTGCAATTGCATAAAAAATAACAATTTACAGATGGCATTTGAGCTTACCAGAGGCAGAGAGAGAGGAAGGGAAAGCTAGAAAGCACCCCCTCCCCCCATGAGGTATGGTCAATCTCTTCTCTTCCTTTTCTTTCCTTTTGTAGGATTTTGGTTCATGCATGCATACACGCCCAGCATTTTCTCAAGTGCTCGCATCTGTGACTTAAACTGCACAGATGGCCTTGTGGGAACCTGTCCTCCAACCCCAGCAATTACATTTTATCGTGAGTTTTGGAGGGTCATTTAATATATAGTAGGGGGGAACTTATACATTTTAACAAATGAAAGAGACAGTGACCCTACTGACCCAGGAACATTCACTAAACCTTCTTTCCTCATTGATAGCCTTCTTATAATGTAATTTGCTTTCAGATAATCTGTTTCATTCTATCAGATCTATGTATCAAATCTTGATTTAAAGAAAACAATTTTAACTTCTAAGGTATCATTTATTTCAATATATAATGTCTCAGCATATTTTCCTATAAAAAATTAGAAGTAAAAAGAAATTTAAAGTTATTTTGCCAGATTCCCAAAGTAGTCTCCCTTGAGTGTTTATTTGAGTTAATCTGTAGATTATTTTGGCAGGAATAGAGCAAATCAAATTGTATCTTCTAATTATGCCACATGTTAAATAAACTCTAGGGATGAGTAAGAATCAAATGCAAAATCTTAAACTATTATATAAAAAGGAAAAGGAAGAAGAGAAAAAATAATTGTTAATGGTCAATTTTAGTTTAGAAAATAAATTCTAGACAAAAAGACATGAAGGAGATCACATAAAAATAAAGAAATATGTATAGCAAATAAAATGTTTATAAAGGATAATCTGAGAAATAGTAAGACTATGAACACAAGAGAAAATATATGCCAAAAGACTTGTAACATTTTAATGTCTTTTCTCTGTAAATAGTAGTACGAATTATATTTTTCCTTTAAGACTTAAAGGAAAAAATGAACAAATAATAGATACAAGTAAAAAGGACCAATAAACAGATAAAAAGTTATACATTCACTAATATTAAATATTAAAAATATTTCAATAAACCAAAACAGTATCTTTATTGAATGTTTTAAACTATTTTTATTGAGTATTTACTAAGATATACTGTTCTATAGTCTATAATACATAACATAATATACTTTCAAGAATAAAAAGAATCTTAATTATATTTCAGGTTACAATAGACCTAAACCTACTCTGTTAAACGTGTTATAATTCATTGTTAATTATTCCTCAAAATATATATTTCCCTCTGTGTACATTTTTTCTCATTACATTTTTATGCCCAATCATGGAATCTTCTCTAAATCAAACTTCATTACTTTAAATATGTGTTACAGCAATTACTTTACTTCTGGTCTCTCTCCTTTGAAATAATCTACATGTATCTGTCAGGTCAGTGTGCTGAGTACATTATCAATTCAATTCTCTGCAAGAAAAATTCAAATGTTTCAAATACTATATAGGATCAAATATAACATCTTTTAACTAGACAACATTCATCAAACAGAATTTTTAAAATATATTTTGACATTTAATTTTACTATTATGTTGATTTATTGAAACATGAATGATACTTTCTGAAACAATTCCATGAAAGTAATGACAGTTGGATTTAACAGTTACCGAGTTTCTGCTGATTTGCTCCTGCTCTTGAATTTGGATTTAGATTTGTCAGCTCATTTTGAAATTCCATTCATACATCTTCTAATAAACACTGCCTAATGATTTGATGAGCATTTAATATGAAAATATGTTTTTCTTGTTCTGTATTCCTTATGTATGGAAACATTTTTAAAATTAAAATCAACTTGCTGAAGAGGATAAAGTTTGTTTAAAATCACTATAATTTTTCATAATTTTTTTCAGGACATTTATCACCTCCTTATTTCTCAAGCTATAGATAAAAGGGTTTAATAATGGAATTACTATTGTATAAAATATTGCCACCGGTATATCTTTATCCCCTTCTTCAAATGGTCGAATGTACATGAGAAGACAAATGTAGAATATTGAGACAGAGAGAAAGTGGGAGGCACAGGTAGACAAGGCTTTACCTCTTCCTTTCTTGGATTTCATTTTGAAAATAGTGAAAAGGATGAAGAGATAAGAGATCAAGACAGTGGCAATGGTAAAGATTTGAATTGGCATTGAAAAAATATATATCATTAATTCATTGATGTAAGGGTCAGTACAAGAGAGTCTGTACAATGGAAGAATATCACAAAAAAAATGGTCAATTTGATTAGACCTACAGAAGGTTAGCCTTAACAGAAGCCCTACATGAATCATGGAATGCAGGTTACTAGCTATGAAGGTCCCTACAGTCATCTGAATGCAGAGTTTCTTGGACATCATTGTGTGGTACTGCAGTGGGTGGCAAATGGCCACATAGCGATCATAAGCCATCGCTGCCAGGAGAAAGCAATCTGCAGTTTCAGCAAGGCAGAGAAAGTAAAACTGTGCCATACATTCATAGAGGGAAATCCTTCTGTCCTTAGAAAAGAGGTTCTCCAACATCAAAATCCTGTGAGAATAAACTCAACTGTCCAGGAGTGATTTTCCTTAGCCATTCCTGGTGTCTCTGGTTAAAAGAAATTGTAAAGAAATTCAGTTGAGATGCTAAAACAATGTGTCTAATTCTACTCCTCTGAACTCTCCATGCACTCACAGAAAGACCCTCCTCAAAAAATCCTATAGCATCACTTTAAAATGAGCACATTCACAGTGAGTCAAGTCATGTTAGAGGAAACGAATCATAGTTTCTGTACTGTGATTGTCAGGGACTGTCTGAAAATGTTGTGTGAATGCCCAGGATGGAAAAGTTTTTTCTGCATGAATTACTTTATTCCAATAAAGAAACCTGTGGCCAGTATATATATTGTGCCTTTTCCAAAATTAAAAGACATTTTCTTATGATATCTTTTCTTTGTGAGGGAAATAAAAACAAATTTTGAACATTCTCCATGATATTTATGCGATGTGTAAAAGTAACATGCTCTTTAGAGATTCTAAATCTCTAATTTTTAAAATACCACAGAATCACATTAAATTTGAAATGCTTTCTATATATTAATACCCCTCCCAGGTAAAATGCATTTAAATTTTTTTCATTTTCTTTTATACATTCAATCACGTTATTTAGCTTAAAAAGCGAATATTCTAACATGTGAACATTTCTCCCTAGTCCAGTTGATAAAACTACAAAATTATCTTCAACAGATGATACCATATTTCTTTGTCCATTAATGCTTTGCCTCTCTATTTCTCTTCTAAATGTCCTTCCTCAGACTTTACTGGAAGTTCTGTGATACTCTCTGTGAGGCTGACCCATAAGAAAAGGTTTCCAGTGAGATTTAGGGACAAAGTCTCTACTCACAGCCTGCTTATTCTTCACAATAAATACACAGCTCTCTTACATTCTCTCAATTGTCTTCTCCTTAAAGTAATGTCTTCATTTTTGGAGAATCCTGTGGAAGTTCCTCATTAATATGATTAAGATGATAAGCTCCTTATCTGCTCTTAATTTGCTATAAACTTGTTGGGGTTCAATGATTACCCAACTTTATGATATCAGTGTATTACAATGTCACAATATTTCAGGTGTAGAAACTATGGGTTTTAAAAGAATGAGAAAAGATACACACTGATACAGAGTATCTCCACTCAAATATATGGAATGGCTGTATTCTATGGCAGAAGTTGAAAGATCTGAAAATATGGTAGTAGAGGAGTAGAGATTCAAAAAGTGTAATGACAGAGTGGGTGGTGGAGTGTGGGTAAGAGGGTTAAAGGGAAGAAACATTTCACAGACAAACATATGTAAAATTCTTTGTTGAAAATATGTTCTGTATTTCTTGCTTCATGAAAATAAAAAGTAAGTTTAAAAAGACTTATTTTTTTCCAGAAATTGCTAGAACAATATTCGACCTCACTAAACTTCAGATAGACCATTTTAGAAAAGAACCTATAATAGTTATTCAAATACATTGGTAAAAATAAGGGTTATTTTGGTAGTTTTTTCCTTTCTTGACTTTATCAAACTTAATATAGTGTTTTTTAATTCACTGATGTAATTTGATGAAGTTGTCTGGAGTTTTGTAATAGAGACTGATAATCAATTGAATAGAATAAATTGTCCTTTGTCCTTTATGTTTTAGCTCTATGATACTATAAAATATTCCTTAATAATTATACTATTAAAATGTTTTTTAAATATAAAAATATTGATTTTATTATTATTTTAGTAACACCTAGTGGTAAATCAATTGAAAACACATAACATGTGGAGTCTGGAATAAAAGTTTAGCTTTAAATAATTTTTATTTACATAGAAGTTATATGAGAATACAAGAGATGAAACTCATTTTCTTTTCCCCACTGTGAAACATAATTATTCAACTAAATCAGCAATCAATTTATTATACAAACCAGAATTATTACACAAAATACTTTATAGCCTTACCTGTTTATTTGCTGGTAAGACTATGTATCTTGAACACAGAAGAGGTCAGAAGTATCCACTTGCGATGTCTCATTATAGTTTTCACAATGCCTTTAATTTAGAAACAAAATGAGAAAATAAATGTGTAAAATGTAACAGCAATACTGAAGTATTTTAGAGAAATAGCTATTTCTGTCATTTTCTGCTAAGATATAAATAAATCAGAAATCAGACCTCATCTGTCATGTATAAGGACATATTTTGTAGTAGCAGATTAGCCACTTAATGTTATTAGTTTTTAAGGAATTTAAGAAGAACTGTGAACTTTATAACATTTAGCAATAAGTTATGTAAATCTAGAGCACTTCTGGACCAATAGGTCATGACAATAATGTTAGCCTCAGGGCAAAGTTGCAGTCTTCTACTGATTCTAAAGGGATTTCCTTGGCATTGCCATCAGGGTGTATCTGCAGAGACTCCTAACCTGCGAGGTGTGGTTCCCAAAACACCAGTAAAGCAAACAGCATTAATTAAGGGTAGACACATTTGAGATTCTGAGGTTAAACCAAATTGCCATAACTAAAGCTGACTTATGATCATCTTAAGTTTTCACCTGTTTGTGTTCTCATGCACATTCTCTCTGTCTCTTAAATCTTGTTTGCTGAAAATTATAATGAAGGGGAAAATAATTCATATTGGTCACTGGAAGTGGAAGTTAAACAAAGATTTAAGAGTAATCTGAATTTGTGAAAAGACAAAACATGTGGTGTAAACAATCAAGGTTGCATTCCTTTCTACCATTCTCTTAATTCAACTTGACAAAATTCTATAGCTTCATGTCTCTAAAACAATTCTGAAATTGGGTTATGTGGTTTCACTTGTCATAACTGAATGTAAAACAAACAAGCAAACAAAAACAGGAAAAACACCTTCGTGCCAGCAGGTGGTATGATAGTTAAGACCTGGACTCTCACATGGCTAAATGTTTCAAGTCCCAGAGCTGGTGGCTTGAAACTCACGCCAGATGCATATGTGTGCATCCCGAAAATCCTTTGAGGAGAATAGAGAAGGGATTGCAGTATGACCAACCCCTCTGTCAGTGATTTCTAGCTTTTCCTGTCTCTGGTGAGCACACATGCCCTATGGAAAAAACTTAAAAAAAAAAAAAAAAGCTTTTATGAGGTACAATAGAGACACAAAAGGTTGTATGTGTTTAGTGTTTACAACATGATGAATTTAAAGACAAGTGCACAGCACTGAAACCATCACTATAGTCAATGTAATGATCACAAGAAAACTTTTAAATTAGTCTCATCCTTTCTCTGGTAGAGGTATTAGAAATATTTTTTGGCTTCTTATCACTCTTGAAACCAAGTCTTTATTCTTTACCTTGGAATTCTACATCTATGAATTTATTTTCTACAATTTATGTTTTGTTTGTTGTTAACACTTTACAGTAGATTTTAAAAATTATTATTTATTATTATTATACATTCAATTGCTATACATTATTTAGATTGTAAAGATTTTTTTCCCAAACATAATGTAAACCACACACATATATCATGAGTTGAGACTGCTATACACAACATCATCAACAGGCAGCAAAACATATCTGTGTCCTAGAAATGTCTTACTTGTCCATTTTTTCCCAAATTTACCTTCTTGCACTCTTCCCCTCTCCCACTCTCCTTCCATTTTGGCCCCCGTGTCCATAAAAAATTTCAATGCCATTATATTCTCCAGTCTTTCAGTCTTTACTACAGGGTCTAGACCTTCAGTATACATTAAGTGGAGACATACAATGTCTCTGTTTCTTAACCTAACTTTCTTCACTCAGAAATAAATCTTCGGGAACCAGCAGTTAGCGTAATGGCTATGTCGCTGGACTCCCACGTAGTCGACCGCGGTTCATGTCCCGGACCCGGTGGCTTAAAACTCACGCCGGGCGCGTGTGCGTGCGTGCCCAAGATCCCGAGAGGAGAATGGAGGAGAAGGGATTGCGGCGTGACCATCCCCCCTGGGGGGTGATTTCTCGCTTTCTGTCTCTATGTCTCTCTCTGTCTGTCTGGCGAGCGCACGCGCCCTACAGTGAAAATCTCTCCAAAAAAAAAAAAAAGAAAAAAAAAAGAAATAAATCTTCCATGTTCATCCACTATCTATCAAATACCAGGGTCTTGTTTTTTTATGACCAAATGGTATTTTAGGAAGTATATGTGTCACACTTTTTCAATCTATTTATCTGTTTGTAGACATTTGGATTGGTTCCATGTCTTAGCAATTTTGAATAACGTCACAGTAAATACAGTTGTGCAAGTACTTTATCAACTGATCGTACTCCTGTCCTGTAAGTTGGTACTCAGGAGTGGAATTGCAGAATCATATGGTAGTTCTATGTGAAGTCTTTGAGGAACCTCCATATTGTTCTCCACAGTGGCTAGACCAATTTACATTTCCACCAACAATGTAGGAGAGTTCCCCTTTCATCACATCCCCACCAACACTTATCATTTTTTTCTTCTTTAATCTTCGCCATTCTGACTGAGGTTAGGTAGTATCTCATAATTTTGATCTGTATCTCCCTTATGATGAGGGATGTTGAGCATTTTTTTCCTATGCTTTTTGGCTGTTCATATATCTTCCTTAGAGAATTGTTTATTCAGGTCATTTTCCCATCTTTTAATTGGGTTAATAATTTTCTTTAGAGTAAACCACTTAAGTTCCCTGTGTATTCTGGTTATCAGACATAGTCAACAAAAATTTTCTCCCATTCTGTGGGTTTTTGATTCTTACTAATTACTGTGTTCTTTGCTGTGAGGAAACTTCTTAATCTGATGTAATCCCACCTGTTTATTTTGGGGATTATTGCCTGTGCTTTAGGGTCTTACTTAAAAAGTCTTTGCCTACCCCAATGTCTCCCAGAATTTCCCATGTTTTCCACCAGTAGTTTTATAGTTTGCAGTCTTATGTTTAGATCTTATATCCACTTTGTGTTGATTTTTGTTAATGGTGACAGATAGGGGCTCAGATTCATCTTCTGGAAGGTCGATATCCAGTTTTTCCAGCACCACTTGCT